ATGAAAAAGAATATTAAATTATCTTATTCAAGTCAGTCGCCTTTTAAAAGGTAAGACGCATAACACCATATGTCTTATGATCAAACACATGTAAGGCACAAGTTGTCATGTGTCTACCCTATAACTTTGACGTCGTTAACGCGTACCAACAATTTTGTCCTTTTGGTTTTAACCTTAAATTGTTTGCTCTTTTGGAAATTTTGATCAATTTTATTGCCCTTTTGGCTTCAAATTCTGAAAAGAACTATAGCAACACAAATAAAGGAACCAGGACAATAATGTGAATTGAATGCTAAAAGACAAATATAGCAGCCACTAAGGTACTGAATAGGGGTAAATGAGTAAATTACTACAGTCTTAATGAGTTATCGGTTTACCCAATAACCCAATATTAAAAAATCAAAACCAAATGGATAACCTAGTCATTTAAAAATAAAATAAAACCACTAAAAATCATTCATCCAATAGCAATAAACCGATAATATTTTTTTTATTCGATTTGATGATAGATTTGATTTTGCACCCGCATTCTTCTTAGTGCAATAAAATACAGAAGAAAAAAAAGTCCAAATCCACAAAAGAAAGTATTATTAAGATCAATGTCATTATGTTAGGTCCAAAGTTCAAAAATTTTTTAATGGAAGAAAAATAGTAACAAAATACATTTTCGTTCTTCCTGCAGTTTGGCTATATTTGTAAGTTAGATCATCAAAGGGTGTAGCAATTATATTTAAATTAAAGACATATTTGAATTAATTATTGGATGGTAAGAACATATAAAAGTTGAACTGTAATGAATAGCATGTTTACTTAATTTAAAATACGGTAAGAGTCGTTTGATATGCGAAATGAGATAAGTAAGGATATTTTATTAGATGAGATATCCATGAGATATATGAGATAGTAATTCCATATTTTTAAACAAATAGTGGGATCATATAATTTTGGAATTAGCACTCAAGGGTGTGACCTAGTGAATCCAAAGGTGTGACAGTACTATAATAGTCAATGGAGTGATTAAGAGCAATGAAATCTCATGTTCAAATTCGAGTGGAGACAAAAATACCGAGTGATTTCTTCTCATATGTCCTAATCTTGGTAGACAAATTAGTTACTTGATATATGTTGTTATTAAGAGATGACAGGTATCCCGTGAAGTTAGTCGAGATGCGCAAAAGCTAGCTCGGACACCAATATGACATTTTTTTTAGACAAACTAAAAATAAAAGTGTGTTACATACAAAATAATAGGTTTTATGATGAAAATAAGATTATTCTATGTACTTCATCTTAGATTCTTCCATAATTTTTGTATGTGCACACAAAATTGATCTGTTAAATTTTTTGAATGAGTTATATTCTCCATAAGTTCATTCTAAATTATGAATACAATGTTACGTGACTCAAACATTTTTTTTCCTTAATCAACATGATCTTCATTAATTAATGGATTTAAGTAAAATGTATTGTTAGCATAAACAAAAAATTTATTATCAGATTATCTTTACTTGTTGTAATAGATAACATGTTTATTTTTAAGATTTCAAATTTTACATTTAAAGAAGACCTTATAACATATGTGGACGTGCTTTGTACGTGCAATTTGTACTCCATATATCAGTGTTTAGTGTTGACGATGTTTTACACTATATTCAATCGTACAAAGAATATCTACATATGTTAGTATTTTTTAAATGTAAACTTTGAAACTTAAAAATAAATATATTACCTATTACAATACGTGAAAATGACTTTATAATATAAAAATTGTTTACATGGTACATTTTACTTAAACCCACTAATTATTGAAGACCATGCTAATTAAAGAACAGAATGATTTAGTCAAGTAAGATTGCATTCAAAATTTAGAATGAACTTAGGGAGAATTCATTCAATAAAATTGTGGTTTTCAAATTCAATAATTATTGGCTTCGATTTTTATTTTGACACATCAACTAAGACTAGACCACGACAAAAACACATGATTAATTATTGAACATTCTAAGAAAATGTTCTACATTATTATTTAAGAAATGTTCATAAGTTAAACTAGACAATTAAAACTGAATAAGGGAAGTATAATTTATCCTCCTCCAAAATAAAATACAATTATCCCCTTAAAATTTATCTTTCCTCATAATAAATCTATCTTAATTCTTAACTTGGCTTTTCATAAAAACTTAGTGTAATTAAGAAGAAAAGGTACATGACTTCAAATATAATTACTACAAAAGAGTATTATATATTGAAAAACTCTTCTGAGTATGACTACTTACCCTTATATATTCTATATTTTATAAACGAACAAAGGGAGAATTACAAATCGACGTAAATTCTATCCGATCAAACCATGAAATGTACTTCAGACTTGTAAGAGGTTAGACTTAGTTCCTGAAGATAGTAGGATTAACTGGGCTTAGCTTAGATAAATGCTCTTTAAACTCATTCAATATCTTTCTCGCATTATCCTGTTAATAGTTTATGAATGTGCGTTTGTCGGAAATCATCTTTAATCTTCGATTTCTAGTGCGCTGATTCGAGAACAAGCTCACTTTTGTTCGCTTCCTGCTGCTCCTGCTAATGCTATTGCTACCTCCTCCTTTTCTCCTTCGATACGTGCCTGGTCAAAAATTGCTTTATTTATATTCTTCCTGAAAAGGTCATACTGATTTAAGTAGAGATTGTAACACTAAAAAATCTATCAATTTTACTGATTCAAAGAAATTCAAAATTTAAATATTTACTCAAAACTTTAAAGAGATTTTGTTATAACAACTGTGTGTTCTTTTTGTTGACATAAAAAAAGATAAAAATTTACTTGTGCGGTCGCTCATTCCCATTTAATATTAAGTTATACGTTCAGCTATAAAATTACGATTCACATTTGACTGTGAAAATTCTAACTTTAAATTTAAAGTTTGTTTTCTAATTGACTTTAAAATAATAGCACATTCAAATATAAATATTATTTCAAATATTATAAAAAGAATAATAAATTGCTATAAAATTTAATGTTATTGGATCCGTGCACAATACTGATTATCGTAACTAGTATAAATTATAAGAATTAAAAAGTTAGAGCGCTATAAAAATAAATTGGAAAGAATGTTAAAAACAAACACTATGATGTTTTTTAAAATACAATAGAATTTTACAAACAATCAAAACAAATATTGTATTTAGACTAACAATATAGTACAATCATTCAAACAATGTGTAAATTACACGAATGAAATTGGGAAAAATGTTAAATAACTAAAATAACTATATAATAATGAAAAAGGAATATCAATTTTTTTTAAGTCAGTCGCCTTTTAAAGCGTAAGGCACATAACGTCAACTTGAGCCTTGTAAGACACAAATTGTCATGTTCAATTTACCCTATAACTCTGACGCCGTCAACACGTATCAACTTCGCTCCTTTTGGTTTCATCCTTAAATTGTTTACCCTTTTGAAAATTTTGATCAATTTTGTTGCCCTTTTGTCTCTAGACTCTAAAAAGAACTATAGCTACACAAATAAAAGAGCAAGGACAATAATGTGAATAGAAGGCTAAATGACAAATATAGCAACGAATTATCGGAATAATTTGTTATTCCTTTCCTCTACTGGCAACCTTTCTTCCAAGGCACACCATAAGAGCCATTTATTATTTTTCTTTGATTCTAGATCAAAGATTAATTTTATCTATATTATATATTAATTATATTAAGTAGATTGTAGATTGATTTCGATGTATATCTATCATATCATTCCTCAACGAACAGAATAAATGAGTGAACAAGCACCGGAAGGTGTTCGTTAGTGAAACGAATAGCTTAGTCCCAGCGGACAGGACAAAACTTCCCTTAAAGTACTGCTGGAGGTAAATGAGTAAATTACTACAGTCTTAATGAGTTATCGGTTTATCCAATAATCCAATATTAAAAAACCAAAATCAAATTGATTACCCAAAATTATTTTTTTACTAAAATCGCTAAAAACCATTAACCGAATAATAATAGACAAATAACATTTTTTTCGATTCGATTTATTGATCGATTTGATTTTGCACCCGCGTTCTTCTTACTGAGATAAAATACAGAAGAAAAATAGTCCAAATCCACAAAAGAAAGTATTATTAAGATCAATATCATTATGTTAGGTCCAAAGTTCAAATTTTTTGATGGAGGAAAAATAGTAACAAAGTAGTACTAACAAAATACCTGCAAAGAGACTGAAAATTGAATGCATAAGCTCATCTACGGGTTACACTTATAATAATTAAACAGTTTGGCTATATTTGTAATTAATTATTGAATGGTAACAACATATAAAAGTTAAACCGTAATGAATGAATGTTTACTTAATTTAAAATACTTTAAAGATTTGCTTAATATGCGGAATGAGATAAGTAAGGATATTTCATTAGATCAGATATTCATGAGATAATAATTTCATATTTTTAATACGAATAGTGGGATAGAATAATCTCGAAATTAGACACTCAAGGGTGTGGCCTAGTAAACCCAAGAGCGTGACATAGTACTATAATAGTCAATGAAGTGATTAAGAGCTATGAAATTTCATGTTCAAATTCCAGCTGAGATAAATATACTGGGTGATTTCTTCTCATATGTCCTTGTCTTGGTGGACAAAGTTACTTGGTAGATGTTGCTAGTAAGAGATGATAGGTATCCCATGAAATTAGTCGAGATGTGCGAAAGCTAGCTCAGACACCACAATCCTAAAAAAAACTCTCATGAATAACTAATATCTCAAACTAAACATGAGATATCTCTAGATTATTTTCCTTATCCACGTAGCAAATGACCCTAAGAGTTTGAGTCACACTGGAGGGTAAATAAGAACACTATTGATCCTTCCTAAAACGAGGGAAAAGAATAAATAAATTAAGGGTGTCAATGTAATTATATTAAAAGTAAGGGGTCAAACTACATCTCCTCCTTAAGGCTTAAACCCTAACTAAAACCCAAAATCCCCAATTTTCTTTCAGCAAATGAATCAGTATCACCATTTCTTTCTTCATCGAAAAGCTTCCAAATTTCTTCATCACAGTTTCACTATTTTCCGTTCAATGGGCGGCGGTCCCCGTACTTTCCCCGGCGGTCTCAACAAATGGCAATGGAAGCGCCTCCACGAGAAGAAAGCTCGCGACAAGGAAAACCGACTCCTTGATCAAGAGAAGCAGCTTTATCAGGCTCGAATCCGATCTCAAATCCGAGCTAAACTCACTTCTTCTGGTGAACAATCGAATTTGAGCAATGAACAACAGCCTAACTATAGCCCTGTTTCACCACAAGACCATATTAGAGGTCTAGCTGATCGGTTCATGAAGGAAGGTGCTGAGGATTTGTGGAATGAAGATGACGGACCGGTTAATATTCCGCAGATAAATCAACAAAGCCAAGGTATTAGTGAGTCTATTGATTTGCGGAAATTGAGAGATACTAAGTTTAGTGATGTTCCTCGAAGTTACAGTTTTCAGCAAGCTAGACATTTTTGTACGAATGTTAGGGATGTTTTTGCGGAAAATTGTAGGACTAGAAATCCAGCTTGTTCGGATAGTTGGTCAAGACAAAACAAATTTTTAATGTTTGGATGGAGGTTGGGTAATACTGAGAATAGAAATGCGAATAATTTGAATGGATTTTTGAATTTTAGATGCTATTCTGTAGATAGAATGAATGGGAATAGGTTGAGGAAATTGGATTTTACTAGAAATGAGAGTTCGGAAAGTGAGGATAAGTCGAGATCAGTGGGATTGGTGGTGAAGGGTGATGAGCGAAAAACAAAATGGCCAAGGTTTCGACCGAAAGCTGAGGAGTCAACTGATGAAGACGATGATGAAGATACTGAGGTGGATGAGGATGAGGAGGAAAGACGTAGAAGAGGGAGTGTAAAGATGATGAGTAGTGCTGCTCTAGGAAAATATGATATGAAGACAAAGAAGAGAGTTCCATTGAAGTTTGTGGAAGATGAAGATGATTTATCACTGCATGTCGCGGCGATAAGGAAGGAGGTTAAAGGGCGGAGTATGCAGAAAATTGAAACCGAAGAAGACGAGAAGGAAACGATACTTAGCTCTAAAAGGTAAGAAATGATTTTTCAGTGTGCCGCTAGACATTGCAAAATGTTCATATTTATGATATTTCAGTGACACTGTGGCGTATGATCGATTAGGTTTGATGAATATGATGTATCTCCTTTGACAGTCAAGGCCCTTACTGCAGCAGGTTATGTGCAAATGACTAAAGTGCAAGAGGCAACACTTTCTGCTTGTCTTGAGGGTATGTTATTACTAATACTAAAATATTTTAGATATTAATTTGCTGTAAACATTTAGTTTTTCATCATATGAACAGTCTTGATAAATGAGTGTCATGTTTCATTCCTTGATTTTTCGAGCCTTGTGGTGTCTGAAAAAATGAATCCAGTGTGTGTAGGATGTATGTTTTGGAACAAGTTTAACTGATGAGCAGGTTCAAGATTGGACCTCTAGTATCTCTTATGAATGAACTAGTTCTCACTTTTGCTTTTGCCAATTACAGGAAAGGATGCTTTAGTTAAAGCAAGGACAGGCACAGGCAAAAGTGCTGCGTTTTTGGTAAATTATTTCTTCTCTTTTATGTGATTCCCTGCAGATTATTTGCATCTTTCACTTCCTTGTTCTTTTATTACTTCTATTAAAGGCCAACAGCTTCCAGCCATTGAAACAGTTCTGAAGGCCTCACGTAAAAAGAGTGCCCAAAGGGTCCCGCCAATAGATGTACTTATTCTCTGTCCCACGCGAGAACTTGCTAGTCAGATAGCTGCTGAAGCTAATGTGTTGTTAAAGTACCATGAAGGCATTGGTGTGCAGACACTAGTTGGAGGGACACGGTTCAAAGAAGATCAGAAACGCCTAGAGTGTGATCCATGCCAGGTATATATGCATTTTACTGTATTGGGACATTTTTTCAGTTTATGGTAAAAGATGAATTCAATGTGGATGATTTGCTTCCCTTGCATTTTGAGAATGACATATTGAGAAATGTACACATGTTTCTATTAAACAGGGGTACAACAAAAGATATGTGCAAGTTCTGCAAAATATTCTAATGATGTGTAGTATAGCAAGTCTGTTATCTGGACTCATTAGTTGTAGTTGCTTATTAGGTTTAGAAACAGAGACTAGACAGTCTAGCTATGGGCGGCATCTTAGTACCAGTGTTATCAAACTTGGCCTGGACCTGCCGTTTGACTAGAAAATACAGTACAATGGGGCCTGACCTGGCTGTGCGTAGCTGGATTGTCAAGCTGTTAGTACTAGTGTTAGGATCCGGGGGTATGGACCCAAGTGCGGATACGGCCAATAAATGTATATCATGAAATATATAAATATATATTAATTGAAGGTATTGAACTCAAACTAATAAAATGTAATTCTTTATCAACACTCAATATTTTATTCATTAGATATCTTGTGTGAAGAGAAGATGCATGGATATCCCAGATGTGTGAGAGGTAGGCTATGGATGGTTCAAGACAAGTAGAGGTAGATCGAAGAAGTATTGGATAGAGGTGATTAGACAGGACATTGTGCAATTTCAGCTTATCAAGGACATGACCTTAGATAGGAGGGTGTGGAAGACACAAATTACGATAGAAGGTTAGTAGGTAGTCGTGTGTTGTCTTGTTGTCAGTTTATAATTAGTTGTAGTATTGCTCTTACGATTTCTGTTACTGTATCTTGTTTCTTATACCCCGATTAGTGTATTGTTTTTTTGTAGTTTCTGTTCTGTTACTATCTGTTGCTTCTTGTACTGCTGTTGCTTCTTTTTTTGGGATTGTTTTTCTTGAGCCGAAGGTCTATCAGAAACAACCTCTTTATCGTGAGGTAGAGGTAATGTGTGCATACACTCTATCCTCCTCAGTCCTCACTTTGTTGGACTATATTGGGTATGTTGTTGTATAAGATATCTCGTGTAATAATAAAGCATTCTTATACTTTCCATATATATATATATGTGTGTGTGTGAAACAAAACTTAAAATCAAATCAAATACCCAATCAATCTATTATTCTTGGTCATAATATAGTCAAATCATCACCAGATTTGATGTAAATGTACGAACACAACCATGTATAGATCTCAGTAGTTGGTATCACATTTATGAAGCTTTTGTTTCTCTCATCTGCTATTCTGTTGTACCAAATTCACATTAAAACAATTTTCCTCCATGCGACACTAGGGCTAGATAATCAAAGGGGCAATTCTGAGAATTGAACTTAGGACATATTTCAACCTAAGCGAGAATCTTACTACCAGATCAAAATCTATTTTTTTTTTTTGAGAAAGGTAACATTACTTCTATATATCCACAGGTATACTACATCAAAGTGTAGTCCCCCTCCAAAAAGTTTTACTTACATCATTCCTAGGATCTTCTAGTTACAACCAGTCAATAATATTAAGCACATTTTCAGTATCTCCTATCACTACTTGCTTACACCAAAAATAATAAAGCCCTAGGCAATTAGTCTTTATCTTCTGGATATTGTTCTGTTTTCCTTCAAAGCATCTTTGATTCCTTTCCTTCCAAATTGTCCACCAAATGCAAGCTGGGACAATCCTCCATCTCTTCTCATTTTTTCCTGCATTTCCATCCCTGTTCCAACATTGTAGGACTTCTATAATACTCCTAGGCTTTGTCCACTTAATCTTCCTCTGTTGGATTAACATCTGCCACAATTGATCAGTCCATTTGCAGTGTAAAAAGAGATGGTTGACTGTCTCCACCTGTTCTTCACATAGATAGCAACTAGAGCGTAGATTGGGTTTCTTCTTGTTTAAGTTCTCATGTGTCAAGACTGCCTGCTTTGCCAAGAGCCATGTGAAATAATTCACCTTGTAGGGAATTTCTGTTCTCCAGATCATCCTCCAGGGCCATCCTGCATGCTGCTCCTCCGTAGACCTGAGTTCTCTGTATGCTGATTTTACAGTGAACTCTCCCCCTTCCATACTAGTCTATCTTCCTCTCCTGTCAGATTGGTAGCCATTTGCATTGTATCATGAAATCTTGCTATGGTTGTCATCTCCCAATCATTTAGTCCCCTTCTTAGAACCAGGTTCCACCCTTGTCCTGTCCATAACTCTGCCACTGTTGCCTCTTGTCCTTGGCTCAGACTATGTAGTACAGGGAAGGCATGTTTGAGTGCTTCCTGTCCACACCAAATGTCATTCCAAAAAGCTACTTTTTCTCCATTGCCCACCTTGCAGCTTGTTCTCTCTTTGACCAGCTGCCATAGGTTCCTGATAGACCTCCATACACTACAATTGTAAGGGTTGGTGACCACCTCTGTCATCCATTTATCCTCCATGCCATATTTTTCTATTATTACTTCCTTCCATAGAGATACTTCTGGTGAGACAAATTTCCACAACCATTTCATCATCAAAATCTATTTTTCATGCAGTAATATTTATATTTCAGGTTCAAAGCTGCTAAAGTTTTGTGAATGTTTCTTTTCTCTATCATTTAGCTGACCTCTCAAGGAGTTTGTGCATGTTTCTGTCTTTTATTGTGTATTTATCTGCATGTAAATTCATTGTTGCATTTGCTATTTCTGTAGATTATAGTTGCAACACCTGGTAGATTATTAGATCACATTGAGAACAAGTCTGGCTTCTCTACACGAATAATGGGATTGAAGATGTTAATACTTGATGAAGCTGACCACTTACTGGACCTTGGGTTCCGGAAAGACATCGAGAAACTTGTTGATTGCTTGCCTCGACGAAGGCAGTCCCTACTCTTTTCAGCTACTGTCCCGAAGGAGGTTAGTTTTCCTCATTTCCTCTTGTAAAAGGTTCACTGTGGGCTATAGCAGGCTGTCCACTAGATAGTTGAAGTGTGTGCAATCTGGTGCAACACCATTTTAATAAAAGAATTTGACTGATGTTATGTAATCCAAGAGCTTAGGTCTTTCTGGTGTGTTAGAACTTGTAAACTTCCTGCTGGTTGAAAGAAATGTTATGAAAATGCAGGTCCGTCGCATATCTCAACTTGTTCTGAAAAGAGAATATGACTATGTTGATACAGTGGGGCTTGGACTGGAAACGAATCCAAAGGTATCCGTTGATTTTGGTTTTCGCTTAAAGATACGGAATAGGTTCCTGCTTCTTTACAGAAAATTTAGACTGTTATTTTTTGGATTCAGTGTAATTTCTTTCTTTGCAATATGGTCATATTTTTTGAGGTCAGTAATATCTATCCTAAATACATGGGCTTATAAACAGGTTAAGCAATTTTATCTAGTTGCACCGCATGAACAACATTTTCAACTTGTGCACCATCTTTTGGCAAGCCATATCTCAGAAGTGCCTGATTACAAGGTAATTAGTTCTTAATGTTAGAATTTATTTGTACTTTTGAAGCTTTTCGTAATACCATCTGCTTTTTTGGTTGTGATGTTTATTTTCTCATATCTATTTTTTTTTATTTTCTTTGAACTTTAATGTCATACAGGTCATTGTTTTTTGTACAACAGCTATGATGACATCCCTCATGTTTTCCCTTTTCCGCGAGATGAAAATGAATGTGAGAGAGATCCATTCCAGAAAACCTCAACTTTATCGTACTCGAATCTCTGATGAATTCAAGGAAACAAAACGTGTAATTCTTATTACCTCTGATGTGTCAGCTCGAGGGATGAATTATCCTGATGTTACACTTGTTATTCAGGTATATGGCAATTCAGAGAGCTTATAATGCGCATTGATATTTCTTGAAATTCAAACATTATTTTTGACTCTTCTTTTGAATAGTCTGTTTCCTTTTAAATGCTAAAACTTCTTGTTCTTGGAATGGTTAAATAATTTTGGGTTCAATATCTTCCTAAAATGACCTTGGAAAAAATTAACAGTCAAATAAAGTACTTCTCCAATTTGTTGAAGGAGGTTGTTTATTAAAACTTCTTTCACAAACCTGAAGTAGTCAACCAAAGAATAATCCGAAGGCTCAAGTTATTTAGGCTCTTTCCTCTCCAACTTTGCCATCCTTCAAATTATTAGTGTCACTATTCACATCATTTCTCATCTAAAGTGTTTTCTCCTATTTGCGAAGTGATGATGAATTCGGTGGTCTGATAATCAAGGAATGTGCATTATGTGGGAACTTAGTTTGTTTTCTTTTTTTTGTGGGGCTGTTTCCTTTTCCTTCCTCTATATCTTACATGGGAATGTTTCTGTTTATCAGGTTGGTCTTCCTGTTGATCGAGAGCAGTATATACACCGGCTTGGAAGAACTGGGCGAGAAGGCAAAGAAGGAGAAGGTATCCTGTTGCTTGCGCCTTGGGAACAATATTTCTTGGATGACATAAAAGACCTCCCCATGGAAAACTGGCCAGTTCCACATCTTGATCCTCGTGTTAAAGTCAAGGTTTGCTGCTTTGTACACTCAATTCTTTTTTCTATGCACTGATAGGCCGTAGAACACAAAATGCTCCCCATTCACCTTAGGAAAATAAAGGAAATTCACTAGTTAGAGAGGATTATAATAAGATCTCTGATTACTATGCTGGACTTCTACGAGGTAATTTTTTTTGTTTTTTGTATGAGCAGGATTTTTGAGAAGTCCCTTTCTTGATTTTATTCCAAGCCATTAGCATTTAAGTTTGGTTTCAGTTAATTGTGATTGTAAAGCACTTTATTTCTTGTGCCTGGCAACCTGAAGTCGGTATTGTAGATGAATTATTTTCCGAGTTTCTTAAACACTTCCACCTGTTATCACAAACAAACTGAACAAGGATGTCACCACACTTTTGTTTGGAGTACGTTTAGTAGTACTGATGCTGTAGACTCTGTCAGGAGTGTTATCCCATGCCCGCCCCACCCACTGGAAACTAACTGTTTCATTTACTTCTGGAAATCATTTTAGCTTTTTGATGATATGATAATTGCAGATGGAAGAAGCAATGGAAAAGATGGATACTAGTGTCAAAGAAGCAGCTTATCACGCTTGGCTTGGTTATTACAACTCTGTCAGGGAAATAGGCAGAGATAAGACGACACTTGTCGAGTTAGCTAACCACTTTAGCGAGTCTATTGGTTTGCAAAAGCCTCCTTCACTATTCCGTAGAACAGCTCTAAAGATGGGATTGAAAGATATTCCTGGCATCCGGATACGAAAGTAGCTCAGGGTTTTTTGTCTTACGTTAAAAGAGATGATGATGTTAGAGGAGAGTAGTAGCATCCACAGTTCTGGTGAACGTTGATTTGGCGTCAGGAAACAACATTAGCGGGACTTGTATTTGGTCTTTTGAACCGTCTATTTGAACATCTTGTGAATGTATTAAATTTTCTTGAAAAATTAATTGTAAATATTTGAGTGCTGAATAAATTCTCTGTAAACCTTTCCAGCAAAGACCTAATTCATGATAAATTTAGATAATCTTAATTCTTGGGTTATGTGTTAATGGTTTTGAGTTTATGTTTCCATTTTTTTAGATAAGCCAAAGTTCGTCTATTCAGGTTCTTTTATTTGCTTGGTAGGACATTGCATTCTCCGGATAATTCAAATTGAAGCAATTGAATGTCCAACTTGTGCCGATACGATGTGGTGAAATGGTAAGACACGTGAAATTTAACATCTCAATAAATTTCATTGTAGTGACAACTCATCAATCTTTCTTTTTCTGTTTAGCAGCGGATCTAAAGTACAACTTACGGTATCACAAAAATTTAGTAACTTTTGACTTTTAAAATCTCAATAAGAAAGCACGATTGCATTGTAGTGACAACTGATCAATCTTTCTTTTTCTGTTTCGAGAAGCAGATCTAAAGTACAACTTACGGTATCACAAAAATTTAGTAACTTTTGACTTGGTCCTATATACATATTGAAATTTACTAAATATCTATAAATATTTTATGATGAATGAATTTGTTTATTAGTACATGTTAACTTAAAGTTGCTATAAAAATTTATAAACTTTAAATTTTGAATTCGTTTTGCTTGAAAAGAACCAAACCTTATACTGTTCTGAGTTTATTTAAGTGGGCCCTGTAAACGAATTAGTTCTGATAATTGGACTATGAAGAAGGGCCCAATGGGCTCAAAGATGACGTCATGTTACAGAAGTAACAAATATTGAAAATGAAATGTTGTTTTCATATGGATGTTATGTCTTCTCAAACATGCAATATCCCACAAAAAAATGAAAATTCATTTCATATCCTCTTTCCTTTAGACAATTCTTTTCTTGGAACCCTCGGAAATCCGGAGTTGCTATTCTTTGAATATACATTGAGCAATCCGCTGTATCAGCTTAGTCATCCTTACGAATAGATATAAATCATATAATTAAAATTCCCATTTTTTTTCTTTCTTCAAAATTACACAAAAGAATTCTGATGAATTGAATTAAAGAAAATATGTAGTATTCCAAGTAGAAATTCACCAAGACTGATTTCCTTGTTAATTGGACAATTCTTATTTTATTTTATTTTTACAACAGAATTTGCATAGTTAGAAAGTACATAAAATACTATAGATCATAGTCATTTTAGAATAAAAAAGTTTATAAATATATGAAAATCGCAGTTACAGATAGTATTATTGACTCTCCTAATAGGCTAATAGTGTGCTGGCATATATAATTGAGATAGAATATCTAGTGAATTCATCAATAATAATAGACGTCTGATGACATTCCAACCTTTCTTTGTTAGACCTGTTTATAGTCGGAAATTCCAACTCGAAGACCCTAATACTACTTACTTCGCAACATATTATAAATTGAACCCCCTTTTCAGCATTTACACAATAAGATGACCAGCTTAACTAGGTGCATTAAATTTAGTAAATATTCATTCATCCTTAACCAGAGTTCCTGACAAGTTTTTGGTGAAATAACTCTGATAAGAAGAAAAATGAAGGCACTAGGAGACCCTCCTGGCCCAACCCTACACACTCTAAGATCCTTTTTCAAACCTGCTCCCATTTCAATTTCAAGTCAAGAAAAAAAAGGCTCGAATGGTACGATCCCCAAGTACAAAGTCACCTTTGCCAGGAAGCGATTTACCCCCAACGTGAGACTTCCCAGAGTGAATTCAGATTTAGTCGGACTCCAATGTTGGTACCAAACACCGGATGAGAAATAAAAAAAAAGGTGTATTTACTTGTTGACCATGAACAATGAAACTCTTGTGAGGGTACAAATGTCATTTTACACAAGCCAAGATTAGCTAGTGTTTTTTTTTTATTCAACTCTTGTCTACACCATATGTTTTTCAATGCATATTAATAAGACAACTCATCAGTCTACACAATTGAATAATCTCATATTTTTTCTAAATCTTCTTCTACTTCCAATCATCATATACTCATGAAAGCTCAATATCCTTCTGTTCCAATTTTACTACTAATCATGGTGATACTCATTCTGAGCCAATTCTCAAGTTGCCATAACATCCAAAAAATGACCACTACAAGAACAAAACAAACATATAGAGACTTAGATTCCAGGTACTCATGGCATCTCTCTGCATCAGATCCTAAAACATCAAGAAATGAAGATATTGAGCAAAGCTACAGAGTTTCAAATCACGCCGTTCCGGGAGGACCAAACCCTTTACACAATTGAATTGATTTGATTGTATTCTTCACTCATCTTAGTGTCTCTACAAAATCACAGGTTTTGCAGTTAATTTTGTCATAATGTTCCAAGTAATACTGTATAGAGAGAAGTTTTTTGTTCTTCTTGCTTTTGCCTTTTGCTTTTTGAAGTTTTATGTATTCATTAACTAAATGTACAAAGTTGCCTTTGTACTTTCTGTTCAGTTATACACTGCAGTCTGCAGCAGTTGCTCATTTCTGGCAGGGGATCTTGATCCAGTTATCAAGTAGTTCAAAAGCAGCATCATGTGATCTTTAAAAATATCAATCTTTTGTAACTTACACAACTTTAAGATAATAATAAAAGGCTATAGATAATGAAAGGAGAGAAACATGCCAAAAGATAAATTTCTAATATAGTAGTCCCTCCGTTTCAATTTGTTTGTCTTATTTTGACTTGACACGGAGTTTAAGCTAGTAAATAGACTTTTGAGTCTTGTGCTCTTAAACTACAGATATGTAGAATGTATCAAAATGCACTTTAATCTTGTGGTCTTAAATATGTATGTGTTGCCAAGAAAAAGAAGAAGAGACATCCCTTTTTAAAGAGACTAAAAAGGAATGTAAGACAGACCGATTGAATGAAGGGAGTAGCTAATAACCAATCACATTGGGATCACTCACCCACTTTGATTAAAGTATATGTCCATTCAAAACAAAAACTGCAGCTGATGCAAAGAAGTCAACTAGCTAGATTCGAAAGCAGACAGTAAGCTAAATATTTCTTCCTTATTTTCTAAGACTGGCAAATAAATTTTTAAGCAAGAATAGCCTTACTGGTGGAGAAGCCAGTTAGCTTTTCGATCCATCGGATATATTATTATACAAATTAGAAAAAATAAACAAGGGTGTACTATAGTCTATAGTAATTTGTACATCCACATAGGAAGATTCTATTAGTAAGTTCTCCAAGCAGTCCAACATTTCATTTTGAAGTATTTCGAGGTGAATTCCGGATGACAATCTTGACATGAGGCAATCGAAAGATTAACTTTTTCCCTATCCTGTGAGAATTATGTCTGCTATGAGAAACACAAGATGCAAAATTATTTAATGGATCTGAAAAAATGACTTCTTCGATCCTCGAAATTAAAAACCAGCTACATGGTTTTGCTAGTGTGCTCCTGGATAAAAACTAAAAAGATGGGTTTTCAACGAGGCTTATTTCCAACATTCTGGAAAAAAAAACCTTTAGTAGAATGTCCGAATAAGTCAACTCATTTTGCTTTCCCACAAGATCTTCAAGTAAGTAACTGGAGCCTAACGACCACAAGATTACACACACCATTGAATTTATAAACTACCCTACCCTATACATAGCATGTATGTCACGCAACTGAAAATGTTGTATTACAGTGTATTTACTAACTGGATGAGATTAATTCCTGTTCAGTTAATACAGAAAAATGATGCAAAAGCCATAAAAAGATACTACATAATCACTAAATAATGTAGTTGATGAGGCAAAGCTGAAACACAATTTAAATAATGTAGTGATTTAGATGCTAACCTGCTGATTGTCCGGAAGAGGCATCTCAAAGCCACTGCGGTTGGTCAATATAAAAAATAAGATGTTTAAATGCTTTATATGTAAGGAGCTCAAGTGAACCAGCAATGGGGTGAAAGTTTTGCTACATAAGCTCTGTGCCCACTGGATCAATCGAAAAATGAACAGAAAGATGTTTTTGGACAATTGGCTGAAACTTAGTTCTCCACATCTGCTTTCAATAAACAAAGCGTTCAGATTTTGGCAACTAGATTCATCATCATCAAGTCATTCAATTTAGGCCAAAGCTACTTCTAGCTTCCTTTAAACTTCAAAATCATTAAACCAATGATCTCGGCATGTTTATCATAATAGTAAATCAAGCCATGTAATAGGAAGTGTTATTTTCAAACTTAATCTATCTTATAACCTAAACTATAAAAGAGGCATTAAACATAAAATATAAACAGCAGAATTTTGTATGTTAAAGTTTCTTAAACATAATCTCAACTTATCTGCTAAAGAACAACTAAGTTGGAGAGTGATTCCGTTGGAATATCTTTTGTTACAACTGACAAATAATGTAATATGCTAGTGATTCCAAGAGTGGATAACCTGCCATTGATTGAGCGCACTTACATTATTATATTCTGAACTGTTCATGAACATCTGGAAGGCCTCCGCTGATGAATAAATACACAGTTAGATGTTGGAAATATTTCAAATTGCAAGTTAAAGGAAAAAAAGATGAGAGCTCACTAGAGCGAAACCGTATTACTACACCATGAGTATATTCCGCACTGGAAATGTTAAAATTTGAACCTGAAAATGTGAAGTAATATTTCTATGAGGTGCTGGGGAACTGACAGAGAAATTAGAACCAGGGGAACAAGTGATGTGGACAGGAAATGCTGATCTGATCAGTGACAAAATAATCAAATGTAAACGGATTAATAAAATCCCTTTAGGTTATTAAGTATATCTGATCTCCAACTTTAATTCAAAAATATGCTTCCTTATGGCTTCTAACCAAACAAGAAAATAAAGCATGTCAATTGGGGAAATTCTACAGATAAGAATGTCATCAGTAAAGTATTCCAGGAATACCGATAGTAGCCTGAACGATCAAGGATGGGAAATCCATTGTCAGCTTTGACAGAGTGAGCAAAGCATCTTCGGCAGGACCATCCAAAGAACTCTTACCAAATGCTATGAGAAGTACAAGCTCCACACCATAGTTGAACTCCTGCCACCCAAAGACTATTAAATGTCTCATTTTAATACCAAGAACCTACCCGCACACTAATGCTTTCTGCAAATTACTAAAACTACTGAAAGACCGGCCAAGAGAAAGATAGGTAGGATTGTTTGAGAAATCTCTCTTGTCAAATTTGAAAACCACCAAGTAGTAGACATTAAAGAGTGAAAATCTATAAATATGAGGGTAAGCCTCACTGTTGGGAATCAATAATTGACCTATTTCAGAAGAAGTCTAGTGATTTGCCTATTCCGCATTAAGTATATTAGAACAAAAGTCAATTGGATGGCCAAAAGGAATAACAACTCTAACTACAAAGTTCAAACATCCAGTGAGATTCAAACAACCTCCCCTTTTCGAAATATTGACAGCATGTCATCTTCTACTTCGGACTCAAAGTCGGCATTGATAATCTCCTGTCAACATGTAAAACTGAAAAGTTTCAGGATATGGATTTCATCTGCAATGCAACTAAAGTATACAAATCAAATGGCACAGAGGATTTTGTTCTTTACATGTTAGGGCATACATGGCAGTAAGGTACAACATGGTCCCTAAGGACACCCACATAGAATTGATTCTCATAAAACTTCAATAGATCCTTCTTTGTTTGAAAGCGCATGTAGATACCGTGGCTATATTTATCATCATTCCCACCAGAGACGCGTCCTACAGCAGGAAATAAAATATAAAACAAACATTTACAAAATACACACCACAAAAGGCATCATTTCCCTACTTCATGCAAAACAAACTTGAAAGGAAGACTGAAGTGAAGCTTCTCTGAGTAAATCAAGCTTTATAGATTGTTCAGGATGAGAAGTAGAGGGATTTAACCCAAACAATTGAAGTCAAATTACATAAAGAATGTCTCCAAGAAAATATGCAGTACTTTTGTATTTACTCTGAATAACGTGGATATTTTATTTTCCTACATATAGATCTCTTTCTTCATTTAGCAACTCGATTTTGGAGAATTTCTAATATTTTCCTTAAGAAAAAAGTTTGGACTCTCGTTTTTCAGCCTAGGACTTGACTACATTGTTGATAGATCTCATATTGTGGTCACCAGACATAAGTACAACAAATTAAAGAACTCGAGTAATATTTCATTGAGCACAATTAAAGCGAAAACTCACAGCCCCTTATTATATCAATGTAGAAGTCAAACAAGAAGTAACTTTGACCTAATGAGATGGAAACAATGCCACCCATTTGATATTGGGTTGTATAAAGGTAGTCCAGCATATCTTTCTCTTGTTCTTCAGATAAGTCCTCCTTTCCTTTGATCAGACTCACGTGTTCAACTACTTTTCTGCAAGCAGCAAAGCAAGTTGTTTCTTCAAGAACAACTTGAGAAAACATAATACAAAAGAAACAATAACAAGATGTAAACTACATTCAAGATTGGGATATACGGCTGAAAGAAATTGCATATTTCTATAAAGTTTAATGGAAGATTAGTTGATTAAGTTATTCCCAGTATTACGACAATTCCTGGAAAATCCTCTCTGATGAAAATTCTCTTATAATTATCCTCATCTTTGGAGGGGAGACTTGGAGCAATGAGTAAAAAAATCTTCAACCTATAGATAACGGGTTTGAGTTGTGGAATTAGCCGCTAATGCTTGGGTCTGGGTAGGTTGCCTATTTGACAACTCCTTGGGGTGTAACTCTTCCCTAGACCCTATGTGAACACAAGATGCATCGGATTTGGGCTACCCTTTTAAGTATACTCATCTTTCATTGCAAACGTTCTTAAATGGTCATCCCCATGCCAAATATGAACAAAACGCAATGGAAATCAAATCTACACTAAATATGTGGAGATGAATATCACAATCTAGAATTTTCAAGCTAAAGGTAACTGATGCAAGACTCATTAAGATCTAAAGATTCAAGATAAGTATAAAACAGTGCACCGTGCAACACAAAAGAGAAATGTAGAATCTTTCCATTGTTATCAAAATAATAATAATTGATAACTGTGGTGTCGAGGCCAACTTTTGCACTTTGACTAATTACATAGGATACCTTCTACCAGCAACAAATATTAGATAACTCAATCCACCAAGGCTAGAACATCTAAGAAGACATCACCTAATATTTTCTTTTCGTCTCTACTGGGATTTGAACGTGATACCTCATGGTTCTCAACGCACTTCATCAACCACTAGGTGACACCATTGGGTGCTTCTATTGTTATCAAATTAAACGTACATAATATCCTTTTCCCCTTTAACATTTTATTTCAAATAAACCAGAAGACTATTGCACATTAGCACGACAACTTATCCTTGATTAAATAAATTTAAGCTACTGAAGTCATATATTTTAATTATAGAGACTCAAACAATAAAGCTACATTCCAAAATCATCAATCTCTTACTGAATGCAGCAACAACATATGATTTTTTTTTTTTACATCAAATTCACAATTCAGCATCAGTATAAAACTTTAACAAGATTAAAAGTACACCAACCTTTTCCGTTTCGCATCATTATCGAAACTCAATCGATCAGCAGCCGAGCATATCACATTGCGATTCTTACTTCGCAAACCGTGATTTGCCTTCAAAACACGACTACCCAAAGCTGCAACTGCAGAGAAAACAGAGGAAATTAACAGTAATTATGGGAAAACATAGAAAATTGCAATTTTAAAAACTGAAACTTGAACAATCCATTAATATAAAATTACCATTCAATTTGGGGGTTTTGTTAACTGAAAAAGGAATTAAATTGAAGGGTTTAGGAGAAGATATTAGGGTTTGAGTATGATGAATCTGCATATTGATTTTGTGTGGAGCAGAAGCGTATAGCTCATTGTTTTATTTAAAAAAAGTTGAGATACTTTAGTAGTGAAATGGGTGGACTAGGAAGTTGGAAAGATGGAATGGCGCTAAATATACTTGTTCATTTTGTAGTTAATTTTTTTTTACGGAAAAACTTTGTATTTTTGAAATTATGCCTTTGGTTAATATAGTTTAGCATTTTATATATGTGTGGTTAATGCTGAACAAATAAAAATAGAGAGAAGGAAAGATGAGGTGCTTTATGACTCGTCGGGGGGAAATCAATCATTCCATGCACTATATTATTGGCAAAGATCGGTGTAGCGTATTTGTTATTGATTCATTTTTACTTGTTTAGTATTGACTTAATTTTTTAAATGAAACAGTTAATAATAGACATCTAAATAAAGTGGACAGAGGGTATAGATATGCATAATACACTATGAGCCTTGCGAGCTATCAAATTAATTTACCCTGTGCTAAAGATAAGAACTGAAAGCTAATAGATAAACAAGGATTAAATGCGCTCCTCCACCCTATCTGTACAAATTGAATAACCCATTTATACATAGTGGTAAAGGGGCTTCCACAATCATCGACCATAGAAATAGAAATGAAGCGTTAATTCTTACCAACTTGACCTTGTTGCTCTTGGCAACAAACATGCATGAACCATTTCACGAAGTATGTGTCCAGATATGCCAAAGTCTTGATAGTTAGCTCCATTTAAATTTCTCTAGGTGGAATAATAAGAGAAGGTAAGATTCAAAAGAATTTTAAAAAGTTTTTTTTTTAAAAAAAAGGGGCAGGAGGTATTTGTACTAGAATAACTATAAGCAAACCTTTCTAGATGTTTCAACATTGTGCTTACAGGCATACCGGTTGAAGTAGATTCATTTTTTGGTCAATCAAAACCCCTGCCCTTTGTGGAGATCTGTGGTTTTGGTAAATAGTCACCCGGGCCTGGTCACTGTGACCCCCTTTGTGAGGAGGCACCCCTTCTCCCGAATTTAGGGTTATATTTTTTGCGATAGAGTACTCAGCTTTTAAGTGCGGCCAGTATCTTTTACACATATGGATGCAATGAGGGATTCGTCTATACTTCGGTAAAGTTTGGAAGACCGTGATTGATCCTGAAAGGGAATGAATGGTAAAAATAACATGTCGTATCAACGAAAAGTTACGAAAATATTTCATTGTTCCTAGATGAGTATAAAACTGTGTTAGAATTCTTGAAACAAAACAAAATAAAGTTGGGTCGAATGAATAAATGGATAAGGTTGCGGCTTCAATTAAATTATAGGAAAAGAAAAAACAACGAACTTTTATTCTTAATTTGAATGATTCCAGTATTTACATGAGGTTCCTCTTTAAGAAAGTCCTCAAGAGAGTTTAGTTGATCCATGATTTTGTTTCATCTTTCGAATTCCCTTTAACTTTACCATAGTTGATATCTATGAGACTATGACTTTCAGTTTTTGGCTGTGTACAAATAGAACAAATAGACACAATATCTTACGTACATGGTAAATACAAATCAATTCTAGTGTATCTCACATGAATTGTCTTGTAGAATGTCATATAAATTAAAACACATGTGTCTATTTGTACAACTCTATACAAATTTAAATGTTTTCTTATACAAATCCAAAATTAAAAATTATAAATGTCAGTTAATATCAAATTAAAATACACGCTAATATATTACATCTATTTTTTTATATGATTCCTTGTAACTTTTCCTAAGTCAAAGTGTTCCTCTCTTTTACAAGTCAAGCCCCATTTATTGACTGAGTAAACTCTATTGACTAGTCGTTCTTAGCTTAACCTTATTTACAAATTTGATCTCTCTTGTTTATTGTTATTGTCACATTAATTAATTCTCAAAGCAAATATGAGTAATCGTATCATCAATTCCTTCTTCATATTCTTCTATGTTATGACTTCTCATCTCTTCTCAACACAAGCAAGCTCAACAATCGACATACATAACAATTGCCCCTTCACGGTATGGGCAGCAGCCGTCCCCCATGGCCGTGGGGGACGACAACTCGAGTACGGTGAAACATGGATAATCGAGATAAACACAACTAAAAACGGTCGTATTTGGGGCCGAACCAATTGCAATTTCAACACATTAGACAAGGGTCAATGTCAAACGGGGGATTGCAATGGACTACTTGAATGTCAAACTTTTAGTAGTACACCCCCAAACACTTTGGCTGAATACGCTTTAAATCAAAACAACAATATTGATTACTTCGATATATCTCTTGTTGAGGGTTTCAACATCCCTATGGAATTTAGTCCTGTGTCCATGGATGAGTGCTCTGTCAGGATCAGCTGCACCGCGGACATAATAGGACAGTGTCCGAATGAATTAAGGACTCCTGGAGGATGCAACAATCCTTGTACTGTTTTCAAGACGAACGAATATTGTTGCACGTCTGGAAATTGTGGTGTGACCAATTATTCATACTTCTTTAAGAGAAAATGTTTAACTTCTTACAGTTATCCTAGAGATGATTCAACTAGTACCTTCACTTGTCCTAGTGGAAGTGGAACTAATTATAGAGTGGTATTTTGTCCATAAATTTATAAATGTATGAAACACATTTCTTTAATTGTTGCTTCTAAATTAGGATGTTTGAAATTTCTATGAAAGTTTGGTTTACATCATTATCACTATCTATTGAGCTAAAAATTCATTGAGAAGTACTTAAGTATTATTGGAAAATGAAAATGAAAGAATATGAGGTGTTATTATTGTATTGGGTAAAAACCGGGCTATACGGTAGGACCAGTCAAGATTTGACACGTGGTAATATGGAACGAAGATGGAACCTGGTATTAGGCTGCTTATCAGGCGGATAATTTCGCATACGGTTTAATTTGGCCTATTGGATATCGATTTTCGAATTTACTAATCTGTTAGCCACCTTTTAAGATATCGATTGGTTCGATAATGAAATAATAATTATCGGATGGTTATCGGGCGATGTAACGGCTAACTTTTAATCTCTATGTTACTTTTTGTTTTCGATGAACACACCTTATAAAAAAATGACTTATTTTCACTATTTTAAATGCAGTGAGCCAGTAAGTAATAACAGAAAAAATAGTAGTACTGACAAAGGAACAATATATAATTTACTCATATATATTATGGTATATAAAATATAAAATATAAAATGAGGCTAATATACCTAGAATAAAGGTGTACGTATGGTAACTCTTAACATGTTAACGATTTACATGATAAGAAAATTGAATAATCTGCTCCCATTTATTGACTGAGTAAACTCTATTGACTAGTCGTTCTTAGCTTAACCTTATTTACAAATTTGATCTCTCTTGTTTATTGTTATTGTCACATTAATTAATTCTCAAAGCAAATATGAGTAATCGTATCATCAATTCCTTCTTCATATTCTTCTATGTTATGACTTCTCATCTCTTCTCAACACAAGCAAGCTCAACAATCGACATACATAACAATTGCCCCTTCACGGTATGGGCAGCAGCCGTCCCCCATGGCCGTGGGGGACGACAACTCGAGTACGGTGAAACATGGATAATCGAGGTAAACACAACTAAAAACGGTCGTATTTGGGGCCGAACCAATTGCAATTTCAACACATTAGACAAGGGTCAATGTCAAACGGGGGATTGCAATGGACTACTTGAATGTCAAACTTTTAGTAGTACACCCCCAAACACTTTGGCTGAATACGCTTTAAATCAAAACAACAATATTGATTACTTCGATATATCTCTTGTTGAGGGTTTCAACATCCCTATGGAATTTAGTCCTGTGTCCATGGATGAGTGCTCTGTCAGGATCAGCTGCACCGCGGACATAATAGGACAATGTCCGAACGAATTAAGGACTCCTGGAGGATGCAACAATCCTTGTACTGTTTTCAAGACGAACGAATATTGTTGCACGTCTGGAAATTGTGGTGCGACCAATTATTCATACTTCTTTAAGAGAAGATGTTCAACTTCTTTTAGTTATCCTAGAGATCATGATTTAAGCAGTCTCTTCACTTGTCCTAGTGGAACTACCTATAGAGTTGTCTTTTGTCCATAAATTTATAAATGTATGAAACATATTTTCTTTAATTGTTGCTTCTAAATAAGGATGTTTGAAATTTCTATGAAAGTTTGGTTTACATCATTATCACTATCTATTGAGCTAAAATTTCATTGAGAAGTACTTGAGTATTATTGGAAAATGAAAATGAAAGAATATGAGTTGTTATTTTTGTATTGGGTGAAAACCTATACGGTAGGACCAGTCAAGATTTGACACGTGGTAATATGGAACGAAGATGGAACCTGGTACTAGGCTGCTAATCGGGCGGATAATTTCGCATACGATTTAATTTGGCCTATTGGATATCGATTTTTGAATTTACTAGTCTGTTAGCCAACTTATAAGATATCGATTGGTTCGATAATGAAATAGTAATTATCGGACAGTTATCGGGCGATGTAACAGCTAACTTTTAATCTCTATGTTACTTTTTGTTTTCGATGAACACACCTTATAAAAAAGATGACTTATTTTCACTATTTTAAATGCAGTGAGCCAGTAAGTAGTAACAGAAAAAATAGTAGTACTGACAAAGGAACAATATATAATTTACTCATATATATTATGGTATATAAAATATAAAATATAAAATGAGGCTAATATACCTAGAATAAAGGTGTAAGTATGGTAACTCTTAACATGTTAACAGTTTACCCTATAAGGAAATTGAATAATCTGCTCCCATGCTATTAAGCCATTAATTTTAAATTTTAATCCGTTCCCCAACCATTTTTTTCGATAACCAAATATCAATAAGCCAAAAAATCAATTTTGTGATTGGCTTATCGATTAGAGTTCGATTTTAAATACCCCTACTTGATACGCACTCGTAACATTCTCGATCGGAAGTCCAGAAAGTTCCGGGGCCAACAACTAATCAATGCATCAAAGCTCATCCTACACCCAAGTATACCAACGAAGCCTCCTAAATACTTTTCACCCTTTAAATCTCACATATAAATTCAATTGTATCTTTTTTTTGGATAAATTAAACAAGAGTAACTTGACTAGAGATTAAGTAGATATTGGGCCAAGTAAAAGCAATAGGGTCAAGCCTTCACAAAGGATAATTTGGGATCTAGACGGAGGGTATTGTTGGCTGTCATTAAACAGAACAGGGCATCACTATCAAAGGCTATCGTGAATTATGTGCAAAGACACCATATGTGTTTTTCATCCCCATTTCTGAGTCTAAGTTTCTCATTTCCTTTCTACCGTCTATCAATCTCTGGTTCTTACTTTCAGTATTTCTATATTTTGTTTGGCCATTTGCTAATTTTGTTGTTGCATTTAGTTTCTGAATTTGTAATTAAACTTTAGTATTATTATAATAGTTGAGAAGTTGGTTATTGTTACACATTCAATTTGAGCTCATGATTACAAAATTTCTTATTCTTTGTTTGGTGAGGAATTTCCAAGTCAATGAAATTAGGAGGACTAATAAAATACAATTAGTGACTGTGACGACTTGACTAGAGATTGAGTAGTCAAGAGAAGTACGAACAAAAATTAATCACGCAAACAAATTACGTATTTGTCACGAAATGGAAGATGAGAGATGGACTTTGCAGTCACAATAACAAAGATAAAAATATATATTAAAAAATACTATAATGTATTTTTGGTCTCATAGTTATTATTCCTAGTACTAGTAAACTGTAATTTCGATCGTTGTAATATATATTTAACCTTGCAACTTGAATTAATTAGAATTTGTATTTTTGGTGCCTTTATGTAGTAATTTGTTAGGTTTAGATTAACATTAGATTTATATTACTTTAATTTATATTATAAAGTAAAGATACAAATTTAAGATTTTTCAAAATCGAAGCACGAACAAAAGGTAGTCACGCAAACAAAGCATATATGATACGAAATAGAAAAATGAGAGATGTACTTGGCAATCATAATAACAAGGACCAAAATAGGGATAATCACAATTCTTAGTTATTGGTAAATTCTAATTTTGATCCTTGTAATATTTAACCTTGAATTAATTAGTACGATATATTTTTAGTCCATTTAGATAGGAAATATGTCATATTTAGATTATTATTATTAGACCTATAGTACTTTTAATTGCACATTTTAAATAAATTTCAAAAACTCAATTAAAGCTAGTGAGATTCTTCGGCCAATCAAATGTTGAGATTTGCAGGGTGGTGAGTACTTCGACTGTCTTGTATCAGGTGAGGAGAAGGAGGTGAAAGGCTAAGCAAGGCTCGAACCTACGATAATAAATGACACTTTGTTGTACCTTTTTCATAATGTGGGTCTATGTCTTCATGATAGATTCTATTTTTCACCTAAAAGAAATTTCTATCTAAGCCTATCTAGATAACACAAGGATGAAGGACCAACATTAAAATTTCAATAAATCAAGGACTATAACACAAATTTCCACAAGAAAATTGTGTTGTTTGAAATTTCAAAATTTGTTAGAAGTTACAGTCTACGAAGGTTCAGCACACTAGGCCAATAAATCAGCTATTTAAACCCATACATAATTTCTCAAAATAAACACATTTTCAAGTTTAACACACACACAAAAAAAATAAAAATGCATTTCCTCAAGTTTTCCCTTCTTTTTGTCTTCCTTTATTTTGGTCAATACTATTTATATGTCACTCATGCTGCCACCTTTGACATTACCAATCGGTGCACCTGTCACGTCCCGAGCCTACACCATGAACGTGGCCGGCACTCAAGAACCATAGCTGGCCCCAAGCGAACCCTTGGCCTGACTTACTTACTCAACGGAAGACTTAACTCATGAAGAAAAAAAAATACTTTTAAAGTAAACTGAACTGCTCAATAAACAGTACTCAGAATGTATCAAGATAACATTCACTGGCCAAAAGTGGCAACTCAGGTATGAACATAGGCCAATAATAAGATAATGACGAATGAACTAACATTTGACTGACTGTCTATGAAGCCTCTAAAACAACTGAGATGGATGTCGGGACAATCTCCGCGACATCCTAATAAACTGATAATAATACTGAAAGCAATAAAAGGGATCCTTCGGAAAGCAAGGAGGCTCGCCATAAAACTCTGAAATGCTCAACTGGATCAACGGTGCGCTGGATGCCGATCCTGGTTACCTGTGTCTGCATCATAAGAAGATGCAGGCCAACTGACATCAATACATTGAATGTACAAGTATGCGAGTTGGAATGCTAAACATAACTTAAGCTTGAAAGGAATTGAAGAACTTACTTGGCTCAACTCAACTCAACATAACTGAACCCATTTCAATATAAAACAGTTTAAAGCAAGTGCAATATAATGAAAAGCTGTATAAAAAAACATGATGTCAACTCTGTATGTATGCAAAGATACATATAACTCTGAAATGTATGTAGAAATACAAATAACTGTGTATATAAAAATACATTTTTTTTTGTAGGAGTTTCTCTAACCGACAACCATCACGTAAGAGCTATTGTGATGATACAACATTTTGCCTCACGCTGCCAGGGCCGTCCTAT